AAACTCTGGTTTGATCTTTTGTCACCATAGGATCCGCCAAATAGACGTAAATTTCAAATAGGTCTACGTGAATCTCCACAGCTTGGACCCCCCCCCCCCCCGCAAAAAATATAAACAGTGAATCATGACAGAATATTAGATAAAATGTCAATATCAGCAGATCAGATCTAACGTCGTATTACTTAGAAGGATGTTATTTCATTTTTGCTTCATCATTCCTCATCATCGTGTACAATTTGCATAAGCTTAGTCAAAAAGTTTAAGGGGGGGGGGGGGTAAACCAAATAAAATATTTGACAAGCAACAAGAAAAAAAGAGATTTGATATTCCAACTACGAGTATTCATCATTATTTTCGGGAGATATTTACTCAGGTAAAAAAAATCTGGAGGAAGGGGCACAAAGAAACTCTTTACCGCCCCCTTTTCAAAAGTGGTGGTGGGGACATTTGCCCCCCTATTATTACGCCTATGACCTAACTGCTGATGTCTCACCATCCCCCTTCTTCAATACATTACTGAATCTCAAAAATAACATATGTATAACACTATAATCGTATATATTATATGTTGCATAAACGCCTGCGATATGTTGCATTTATATTGTCTCTGATATTTAATGTTAGCGGTATTAAAATTGATATATGAAAGTGTATAAGTCGTCCAAAACATGTCGAAATAGTGTCATTCATCAGCAAGTATATTTGGCAATAATACCAGTATTTTAAGAAAAATATCGCGTCCTAATGCAACAATTTGAGGAGGCGTTCACGAATTAATGTGTAAATGTGTTTGACTTAGAGTTGCTATACATATCAAAATATGATTATTGACAACCAGAGCAAATCAAATTTTCAACCATTTATCAATTGTTCAAGTTAAATTTGACTGATAATTACTAGCTAAAAATTCAAAGGCATTAAAAACTACAGCCAATTATATTCCTATATTGCTATTAAATCTCGAAATAAAGAGAAAACTATCTCGTTATGACGAGTTAGTTATCTCGTTATAACGAGTTAGTTATCTCGTTATAACGAGATAATTATCTCATCATAACGAGATAATTATCTCGTTATAACGAGATAACTAACTCGTTATAACGAGATAACTATCTCGTTATAACGAGTTAATTTTTTTTTTTTTACTTTTCAAAAATGAGCTTATCCGGCTTTCGTTAATAAAAACATTTCTGTAGCATAAAAACGCAATTGCTATCTATAACGACGTTTGCAGGAAAAAATAATATGTACATGTACTCTGCATTTGAAAGGTTACTTTTACATTCCCCAATTGTTTTTCCTTTTATAGGAGTTTTTTCATATTTTTGGTGAATTAGATACTTGTTTTGTTCGTTTTTAGAGGCCATTCATGTGTACGCGAAGAAGATTCGGCCCTCGTACTATCAATGGCGGGATGGTTTTCAGATCCCTCCAAGTTGGTGGTGTCCAAACCAACCATCTGACAACACAGAGTGCATCACTTTAGCCGAAATTCCAAATTGTCCAGATAAAGGAATAGACGATTATATATGTTCAAATGGCCAGGCACGGTTCTTCTGTGAATAACATTATTGGCCCGATGCTTTCAACAAGATGTTGATAGAAAAAAGGGGCCGGTAGATTAAGTATGATTACTTAGTAAACTTATTTTTGATATATGCACTAGGAAACTGCATGTGCATTTTCCTTTTTTTGTATTATTATTATATACATGTATACAATGTACATGCATTTATAGAAGGTAACGTTTTCTCTCTAGTTCGACTTGCTGCAAATCTGTGCTCCTGTCTGTCAGCAAACATCACAAAAAGTTATAAACTTTGAACAATGACATTAAAGTGCTGTATCGTAAGATAAGGAATTATGTTCTGAGGAAATATAATTAGATGTATGTGTTAAGTGTAAAAGAAGGAGATGATTCATTTTGATTATCTTACTTTCTCAGGTTTCTACAAGCTGTCAAAGATTTATCAAACATTTCCTGTGAACGGAAGAATCAGTAAGATTAATATCTGGTTGGTCCACTTACTGTAAAGATAAAGATGAAGCTAGATATTTTCCCGGAATATTTCAGAAGTAAAACAATAAAAAGGAAAGATAACTGTATACTCCAATTTCAATAGAGGTATATGTAAAATCTGTGTCATATTAAAAGAGGAATTTGGTAGAATAAGCTGAGAAATATGCTTAAATTCAAATGAAATCGCTGTGTGCTCCGTGTCATGATCGGGCAAAGAAAACGTCCGTAGACAATTCAATGTGTAAATAATGACCTAACAATTAGTATTCGACTTATTGATTGATTTATTTGCTGACAAGATCATTGTATCGACAAAAGAACTTGCGAAATGTTGACTTCAAACGAGACTGTTGATATCCTTGTTTTGTTTCATCAACTTGTTTGTCAATATCTAACCTTGTTCGTACGTAGAGCATGCTCTTGCGTATCGAATCAACTCCATATGCAGGTGACAGGTGTATATTGCTACATAAATAAGGGAAGTTGACGATGAAAAAGTTGAAATCATCACGTTTATAATAAAGTTTTGTTGTTAGGTTAACATTAATGTCTTTTTCTAGTAAATAATCCAAATATGAAACAAATGTGTTAGATTCTGTTGTATCTTTTATTTCAAGTTCACTGGAATATATCGATATGAATGGTAATAACTATTAATTAATAATGCGTCGTCGACATCTCTTGTCCACAAATTCTCCTATAATGAGACTTTCCCAGAATCTTTGTTACAAAGTGCCATTGTGCACCTCCTTTTTACGTTTTCGATCGGTTACATATTTGGGGTTCCCCACAGCAAAACAGGGACTTTTCCATTATACTCATATTGGAATGGGGGGGGGGGGGCATTTTGTGAGTTAATTACTTACAGTACCTCTAGTTAGGTATATAGTGGGGGTGTCCGTCCTTCCGTAACACTTTGGCGTACCCATTTCTTATCCACATCTCCTCCTAAACCACTGAAAGAAAATGAATGAGACTTCCACAGAATCTTTATTACATATTGCCATTTTGGACTTCTTACTATTATCTGATTTTTGGAAAAGGCAGATAAATAGGGTTACCCATAGCAAAAAATAGATACTCGTTATTCCTATAACATGGGGGTAGCCATCTCTTATCCGCAACTCCCCCTATATCACTAAAAAAATTAACAAGACTTTCACAGAATCTTTATTACACAAAGCCAGTTTGCACCTTTTATTTTTTTTTTTTTGACCGGGCAGACATTTTGGGCTTACCATATCAAAACATGAACATTTCCATTCTTTCTATAACATAGGGGTTACCCATCTCTTATCTGCAACTCCTATATCGTTGAATGAAATATAATGAAACTTTAACAGAATCCCAACTACAAAGTGCCATTGTGCACCTTCTATTTCAATTTCGGTTTGGGGTTTCCCGTAGCAGAACATGGACACTGTCATTCCTTTTATAATATTGGATGTAACATCTCTTATCCCCAATTCCTATACCACTGAATAAAATTTAATGAAACTTTCACAGAATCTTTACTACATAGTACAATTGTGCAACTTCTATTTCATTTTTTGATCGGACAGATATTTGGGGTTTCTCTAGCAAAACATGGACATTGCCATTTTTTCTGTTTTATGGGGTTACCCATCTCTTATCCACAACTCCTGCTATACTACTGAATGAAATTTAGTAAAAATTATATAGTGCCAATGTGCACCTCCAATTTTTCGTTTCCATTGTATATACTTGGGGTTTGCCATTGCTTCATAGTACCTTTGTGCACCTTTTAATTTTCGGTCCTGAATGGACAGACTTTTGGGGTTTGCCATAGCAAAACATGGACACTGCTAAACTTCCTTTAGCATGAGGGTATCCATATCTTATCCACAATTCCTTCTATACAATTGAATAAAAATTAATGAAATACAGAATCTTTAATACATTTTCCCATTGTCATGATTGTGCAACTTCTATTTTTCCTTTCAATCGGTTAGTTATTTGGGGTTTATCATAGCAAAATATGGACACTGCCATTTTTTTCCATAATATTGGGAGTACCCATCTCTTATCCACAATTCCTCCTATACCACTGAATAAAATTCAATGAGACTCTCGCAGATTCTTTGTTACATAGAGACATTGTGCACCTCTTATTTTATGTTATGATCGGACGCTGACGGGAAAATATTTGGGGTTTCCAGTAGCAACACATGGACTCTGTTAGCTGTTTAACCCCTATACAAGCTTTTCACTTGGTTCATTGTAATCAGTTTTCACTGATGTGGACAGATATGTTCTACATATCTATTGTAAAACTCTCGGTAGGCCGGACAAAAGTATTTGTGTGCTTCTTCCATGGCAGAAGAGAAAGCTACCAAAGAAACTTACATCAAAACAAGCACAAATGAACTGCAATAAAATGTAAACATAGGTAATGCAAGATAACCAATTTTAAACACAAACATATGTCGTCTATTCCACGCAGGTACTATGACAAGAAGTCAGGTATAACGAATGCGAAGGTTATAACCCACTGCTGATATCAGAGATAGGAAAACTAATATGGCGTATGCCTTTCTACGAGTTATGTTCAGCTCTTTTTTTTGCATAGAATTGTTTTTGCATAGATTTTATGTGGCTTGTTTTAAATTAATAAGCATCATTTACAGCATCAGACAGGTATATTGTAAAATTACTTTTGTTTTTTTTTTCCCTTTTTTGCATGGATGATAGTTGATTGTAAGCAGCAAGAAACTTCCTAAATATCTCCACAGGAACATCTCAATATTGATATACATTATCAACCTCGCAGTAATTTGGTTTCAACCAACGTTTCAATTTTCATGCAGGTGATGAACTTTTTACAGCTGAATTGTGACATTGCTATATTCTCCAAGCAAGCACCTGAATGCTTCACTAATTCTATAAGCATATGACAGATTGTCAAAGTTGTACATCCTTAGTGTAATCAGAGTCTTCCAAACACAAATCAACACTACAATTGTGTGAAATATTTTATTTTTAGATGTTATTAAGATATCTACAAGAAGCAGGAGTGGTTGTTAAGGAGACAAGTCACATGACCAACATATGACCATCATCTCTATTGCAGCTCGTAAAAAAACAATAATTTGTATATAAATAAGAACTTTTTAAACAAAAAATATGCAAAAAAAAGCAGAATAGAATAACTTACAAAATCTTAATAAAAAAAACTGAAAATTTCGTCATCAACAAGACAAACCAATAAAGCAAAAATGAAAAAAAATAAAATTTCAATGAGCAGTGTATAAACCTGTCTACAAATTGTTAGAAAATACCATGAAAAAAATGAAACATAACAGTCAACTTTTAACAAAATGTATGCTTTCTTTGATTCAAGCATCTAAGCACTATTCTCATTTTTTATTTTTTTTTCATATGGCTTAAGGATATACAGTATAACCACAACATACAAATAATGATATATAGAGGACAACAGACTATACTGATCTCAAAAAAAAAATGCACCACCAGTTATGGAAATGCCCGGCAAAGAATAAAATGAAAAAGACAGCAATTCTATACTAAATACCAAGACAAAGTCACAGAGGATATTTCTGTTTGAAAGCCCTCCAGGCAGTTAAGGTATAGTTGTCATGTAAATATTGCCTTATGTAAAGCACTTGTGAAAAAAAAAAATTTGTAAAATGAAAACATTTGGAAAAAAAAATTATTTTACATTAATGAAGAAAATTATTGAAATAACAGGCTACATTTTTTTTTAATTAAAAAAAAATTAATTTGTACCAAAAAAATATGGTGCCGCACAACAATGCAATGTCCCCTGTTGCAAAAGCCATGTATACATGTATTTTTACAAGCTACGTGACACGGGCAGTCATGTGACTAAGTGGGCAGAGGTTAATGTCCATATTTAGGCAAGTACATTGTCAAGCTCTGACTGCTGACCCTCTTTGACCACTGTGACATGCATAAATGGCTTCCTGTTGTTCTCCTGGATGTATTTCTGAAAAAAAAATCATCAGCAATCATCAGACTTCCTGTCGTAACTAATATCTCCAATCCTTGGAAATCTTGAAGTTTTTTCTCTGTCCCGTCGAGTTCAAGATACTGAGGTTTGACTGTATAAATTTCCTGATTAGAATTTATTGTAAAGACCTAGAGAAGAACATGACTTACATGAGCATATGGAAATCCATTCCTCTTCTCTGCTGGAGAAGCATTGGCACCAACATAAACAAAGACCTGCAGGCCATTGTCCACAAGGAATACATCCTAATTAAAGGAAGAAATGGTAATGTCAACAAAGCTGTACTATTTACTGTACCGTACTAGTTATAAATAACAAGAAAAATTCACCTGAAATTTTGAATATCATGAGGAAAATTCTAGGCTTTAAAATTCACTATGCTAATATTTTAAAACAGTTATAAACTCTAATAGTTTGAATTATTAGGATCCATATGCAGGGAATGCTATCATATGAGTACTGTAAATCACATTTTATTTGCGAGAACTTTATTTTCGGGTAATTACGTGCTCGCAAAAATTTAATTCTCACAGATATTTTTACGAGTAAAACAGTTAAAGCAGAATTCATGAAGATTTTATCTCGCTTATAAATAACAAACACGCATCTTGCAAAAATAAGGTGTCACAAAAATTTGGTGATATACAGTAAATTTTAAGACTTGATAAAATCTGTGTCCTGAAAATTATTATGAATTTTCATTTCTACTGGGTTCATACTCACATCTGAAGTTAGATCATCCTTAGTAACAGTTCCTGTCTTAACTTCAGTCATTTCAATTTGTCCACCAGCATCGGAGACTCTATAGAAATAATTCACCAATCTTTAAATTTTTTTCTTGAAACAGACCAATTGATAACACTATAATTTTCATGAGAAAAGAAACTTAATTAACCCATCCAAGTTTATTACATACAATAGATCTAAGAATATAATATCTTCTATAATTCCTTAAATAAATTTCAAATAAAGAAATGTACTTTTATACTAAAATGTATTAATACCATCTGAAAAACGAATGTGGATTTAGACAGAATGTGAATCCAGCAAATTAATCACATAATAATAAGTCTGTAAGAAAATACAGAGATGTTATCATAAACTAACTTTGTAAATGTATCCCATTATCTCATTGACAATTTTACTATACCAATAAAATGCAGAAAATTGATTTTGTGACTCCAGTTACTGGAACAAAGTAGCATCTGCACTTTTGTAAAGGCATATATTAGTTCACTTATTAATAGCACTGAACTTTCAACAATTTTTCAATCACAAAACACAAATGTATACGATACAAAGGAAAAGTTGGTGTTCATGGTATCCTTGCATTACATACATGTGACATTTTTCCATACAAATTTAGATATATAATTATCCCCTAGAGGTGCCCCTTACTTCATCAGAGTCTTGTCCCCTGTGAAAATGCTCAAAGACACCTGATGGACCATAAAGTTGCCTCTTGTCCATCAGAGTCTTTTTATCCTGGGACAAATTCTAAAAGAAATTTTTCCCTTAAGGTGCCGCTTACTCCATCAGAATCTTGTCCACTGTGACAAATTCTGATAGATATTTTTCCCCTAAAGGTGCTCCTTACTTCGTCAGAGTCTTGTCCCCTGTGAAAAATTCTAAAAGACACTTCTCCCCATAAAGGTGCCCCTGGGTTCAGCGGAGTCTTGCTCCGTGTCAAATTCTCATAGATTTTTCCCCTAAAGGAGCCCCTTACTTCATCAGAGTTTTGTCCCCTGTCTCGACTCCCTCATCTTCCTCCTCCATCTCCACATCTTCATCAGGAAGACCGTCATAGAATGCCGGGGCGCGAGATCCCTCCTCCACTACAGAGTTACTTGCCCCTGATCTCTCAGCTTCCAATTGCTGACAGAATTGTTGAGCCTAAAAGATGGAATTTAGAAATAGTGATGCTTAATTAACCTGTAAAGTAAGAAATACACTAAATTGTTTTTCTTAATCATGTATTTACCAGTGGAGTAACCGTGGTGTAAATTTCAGACATGAATTTCACTGGAACTTGTTCACTTTACTTAAAAATGACAAAATCTTTCTATTTGATGGACAACACAAATTACTTGAAATTTTTGGCTTCCTTTTTCTTTAATTGCTGTAAACCACAACCAAAACTAAAATTAAGAATGGCAAGCTATAACAGATCAGACCTTGATTTTCTCCATGCCGTTGGCCCCAGCTCCGTTCCACTGGATGATTTCCAGTCCCTTGTCCAACACAAAAACATCATCAGAATTCAAACTCTTCTCTGTGAAGGGAACCTGTCAATAAATTTTGTCTTCATCCATGATAAATATCAATTGTTATAATTATGTTGTGTCAATAAACTTTGAAAATCTAGCTTGAGAAATGATTTATTTAAAGCTTTAAATTTCAACACACTGCATGTAAACCCTATACATTCATTTGAATTTTTACCTTTAATTAGTTTATAGTTCTTAAGGGAGAGAAAATTTACCAGTAATTACATTAACCATTCAGAACAAAGTAACATTTTAAATACTAACTTCCTTTACGGTGATGTGGCGTCCCTTGCCATTAAACTGCAATAGGCGGGGCTTGTACTCCACGGGTTCCACATGTCTGAAGCCTGTCTCGGCACCACCCTCCAACAACCTGGTAAAACAAAGTAAACAACAAAATTTAAAACTACATATTTCTTAAGCATACTGCAAACTGCAGAAGAATCTTAAACACCATTTCATTAACTCACTCACTATTCAAATGATTTGTTTCTTTTGAAATTGCCTCATTTTTGTAAATTCAATTTTAATGTTTTGTAAATTTGCTTTTAATATACCTTGTTCAAGAACACATTCATCACATGCAAAAAAAAAAACAAGAAGTCTGTGAGCCAATGCTCACTAATAATACCCCCGCTCTGATGTGAATATACAAGTTCAGTTATGGACAGACACAGTGATAATCAGGGAGTGAACATTGGATCTTTACAAAAATGAATCCCAACATATGGCATGCTTAAACAAAGAGTGTGCTAAAATTTCAAGAATCTGTGATGAGTAGTTGCTGAGAAAACTGCGACCAAATTTTGTTATGTATGGTACGGACAGACGCACGGATAAACAGGAAGTTGACATCGGATTCACACAAAAATGAATCCAAACATATGGCATGACTAAACAAAGAGTGTGCTAAAATTTCAAGCATCTGCGATGAGTAGTTGCTGAGAAAACTGCTACCAAAATTTATTATGTATGGTACAGACAGACACACAGATAAACAGGAAGTTGACATCAGATTCGTACAAAAATGTATCCCACCATATGGCATGCCTAAACAAAGGGTGTGCTTAAAGCATCTGCAGTGAGGTGTTGCTGAGAAAACTGGAGTGAAAAATTTGTTACAGACACACACACACAGACAGACAGACACAAGGGTAAAACAGTATACCGGCCCCCTCTCCTGCAGAGCGGGGGTATAAAAAGTTTTGAAAAACGTACAATACATAATTGATCTTGTAACATCAAATGCCGATATAGCTGCAGGACTGTACCATTCCCATTTTTTTCAGACTAATTATAATTAAGCTATACATCTGCATGCAGCTAATGTGGATAGAGAAACAAAGTGCAAAAACAGTATTGCCAGATGGGAAAGTCATACATCTGGAAATTTTAACTAATATGTGATGTACTTACTGAATAGCATTGAAGTAAGATTTGAACCTCTCAGACTCGTGACCTTGAACCTCTCTGTGCTGTACAGCCTTGTCATCTAGATATGTGTCCAGTTCTACAGTTTTGTATGCAGCAGTTCCATACTCATCCTGAAACACAAAATTAACAATGAACTAAACAAATACATCCTCCAAATTGGGAATCTAGCAAACACCTCAATAACAGGAATTTCTTCTTGTATTATGATTACCATTGGGTAGTATGAAAATCGTACAGTTTATTAAAAGGAATAACACAAAGCAAAAATATATATATATATATAATAAAAAAAAATAAAACAGGCTGCTAATTTTGTAAGGGTATCAATAAAAAAATTCTAATCCACAGGTGAATATGGCTCTTACTCTAAGTCTTGTAATAATCATCAAAAAATTAAACATCAAAACATATCCATCAAATCAATAAATTTTTACAATGTTAAACCACAATACATGTAGTACCCAATTAGTTTTAATCTACTCAGTACTCAACATAAGATCACCACCTTTTTTATTGATCTTCTTTTGTATATCTAGACCTGTCCAAGAAATGGGCATTAATGGATTTTCCAGTGTCAAACATTATCAGAAAAATTCCTCTCCAGTATGTTTAACTATTTACTAATCCAAATTCCTGCTCAAGGCCAGCTGAAGCAGAAAGTACATTCCTCAGTTTTCTTTGGAATAATATCAGGTCAGGTAACCTTGACTTTCAACACATTCTCTTACAGAATAACTGCAAATAATCTTTATTCTTTAGACTGGGTCAACTCTCATTTAACATTAGAATCAAATACATGTACAGATGAATGATTTCCTTAAAACTAATTAAAATCAAAACTTAATTGTTGTCTAAAAGTTTAAAATCCTGGATGCTATGTATGTCTTTCATTCTCAACGCTGGAGAGTTTTGGCACATCTTTCATGTAATGTTTCCGCATCTTTTCTGCTGGTCTTGACTAAAGGTACTAGTTCAGGTCAAAAGTAAAGGTATTGAGTCCGAGTAAATAACACAGAACATGTGTGCCTAATGAATTAATTTCTGGCAAAACATCTGTCTGAGGAAAATTTTTACCTCAAAAGAGAGTACTCTACTGAACAAATACCTTTGCTGCATATTTACTAATGAAACATTTATGACATGTAAATTTTTAGTTTTATTAGATTTCTTTTCAGGTATCTTAATGTAAACTGACAGGTGATCAAAAGATCAAATAATCTAGAGGTTTAATAAAACAATATTCTTAATCAGATACTGTTGCATAACATCATTAACCTTTCTGTCCTGCCCAAGTTACTGAATTGACAAACTTGTCTCTTGATCAAGCAGTAAATATTATGCTTTTCCAACTTCTATAGTTTCAATTAAAAGCACTTTTTTTTAAGATATTTAAAGATTTCAACTTTAAATTAATCAATGCTAGCTGTTAATGGTGGCCCGGGTTTAATATTTCAGGGTGTTGAATCTAAAGAAAGAAGGAAATTCTACTAACCATGATCTGGGGATTTCACAGTGGGTTATACTCAGCTAGTAGTTATACTGATAATCACAGACTATAGGTATTAGAGACCTTATGGTTGAAATGATTAGTGCCTAGAGTAAATGCCCACTGCTGGGAAATTCCCCTCCGGAGTTTTCGTTACCTGTGAGCTGTTCTTGCCGATCCAGAAATGGAGGTCGTACTTCAGGTCCTCGGAATCACCCTCCTTGTAAGTCTACAAAATCAAACAAAAATAAAAGATATAAAAACAATATACAGTCAAACCTCGTTATCTCGAACCCAATGGGACCGAGAAAATACTTTGAGATAGTGGTGTTCCAATCATCGATTATAATCGAAAATCAGTCGATTGCTGGCATAATCCAAGCGCTCTATTACAAAATTTTTAATCCAATTAATCGGATTATCTATTTTATTTTGTAAGCATAATAGTTTTTAAGCCAAATATTCCAGCAGCAACTTGTCTGTTAACTTATTTGTGCATCGTAATGGCACAGACGAGCAGACATTGTATTCATACCCAAGTAACAACACTCATTCCTGGGTATGGACATACTTTGGATTATACAAAATGAGCGATGAACCAGCTGGACTAGATAGAACGTTCTGTCATTAAAATGATATTGTCCTATGGCCTATAAGGCTTATCCCAAGACACAGATTATTCTAACTACATGCAGCTGAACCACCACAGAAAGTAGTTATTCACCCATTCTTACCATTTACTAAAATAAACTGACAGACTTTGTAAATGTCCGATTATAATTGATAATTAGTTAGTTACAGTAGTCCGATCATGGATTATGAAATTCTTACCGATTCCCATCACTACTTTGAGATATCCGAGGGTTCGAGATATCCTGGGTAAAATACTTAAGGAATAAGTGATTGGGACTAATCACTTCGACATATCCATGGTATTCGAGGTAGTAATGTTCAAGCTACCGAAGTTCAACTGTATATAAAATGTACCTTCTTCTTTTCTGTGATGAACTTCCTTTTAAAATGAGTGTATTTAAGAAGTGAATGGCTACCAAGTGCAATTTACAGTATGTGTGATACTTAACTCAATGCATACAAATAAATACATGGCATCACCTTTAAAACAACAATCTAATTCAAGCTGTTCGGTTTTGACCATTTTTTAGCAAACCCAGTTTTTTGAAAATTCTTTACCTATTGATTTTCTTTAAAATGGTTCAAGATACTTATACTGATATATTTCCATTTCTATTTGTTTTTTCTGTGATAACTCTTCGAAAGTTAGGAGAGTTGATTTCTTGATCATTCTAACGGAATGCAAATTTTGCCAAGCGAAAGGTCAGTAGCTATAAGAAGGCATAATATGCATGTAATTCTCGTGCAGCTGTCTTTGTGTCTGACTCTAAGGAGGTCTAATAGGCATGTAATTTTCGTGCGGCTGTCTGTGTTTGACGTCAGTTGGCGGGGACTATTGAAATTGACATGTGAGGCCTCGTGTAATTTAAATCTATTAGTCTACATTTTTAAAATCTAAATTTACAATTTTATTTCAAAATGAAATGGAAATATAAGGAATCACTGTCTAGTAAGAAGAGTATGCCAGGGACATCAACGATAGTTGGAAACGTGGGGTTGATGCCCTGGCATACTTTACTAACTAGACAGTGATTCCTTAATTAATTCTGTATATTTTTTAACAACAAAGTGATCTTTAATCCCTGCTGTTGAAGAACATATGAACTTTGCAGATATATTGAACTGCATTTATATATAAGAATTAGAATTATTTGTCCCTAGACTCCTTCTATAAGAGTGTTTTACTGTATTTTACATGCCTAGTAATGACAAGGTGTTATCTTAACATTTGGTCCAGAATCACTGTTTCATGCTGTGTTCACGTCACCAGTTTGTCACTGTAATGTGGCACATCACTTATGCTGCAAATCATGAATAACTGCACCAAAGTTTACAAGGAAAGCAACTAGAACGTTGACCTATATATATATAGATTTAAATACCGGTACTTACATAAAGGACAATATAGGAATCCCCATTGTAGAATTTTCCATAGTCCTCTTTAGGCCAATCTGTAACTTGGAATTTCTGAAAGTTTAAAAAAAATAAAATCAAGTCCTTTACATTTCTTATTATTCTACCTCCAGTTGTGTTAGTACCTTTGCTATGGTAGAAGTTAAAATGAGATTAAAATTTTATACCCTTTCAAAACCCTGACAAATACAAGAACAGATCAATAATGTAAGTTTAATCATCTAATCACCGCTACCTTGCACCATGTGGCAGGTTGCTTATATTGCTCATAGTTTTCATTGCCAAATTTTCACCTGCCCTTTTTAAGTCAGTCAAAATTTAAACTCACCTAATAATGAACATATCCTACTGTGTGTCTGCAATATTTTTTGTAGTGCAATAAAAGTTCAATTTGTTTTCTTAATGTGGAGTCTACCATTTCTATTTCATCCTTTATGATCATGCAAGGTTTGAATTCAACCTTGGAAATTAATGCGGTTTTTCCTGTGGCCATCAAATATATATCTTATTTATTCCAACTGAAAGCCCAACAATCAAATGCTAATCTAATACTGTAAACCAACTTTTATTAGCGTGCAAGAAATATCCACAATTTTCGCAACCTACTTTAATTCGCGAATATTTATCGCTGTGAACCATTTATTTTGCTTTGTATTTGTAGAGAATGTTTCCTCAGTCGCGAAAATTAATGGTCGTGGATTGATTTCAAACTGACGAATCGCGAATTAAAGATCACACAAATAATAGTTGGTTTTCAGTATATGGTGAACACAAAATAGTCCCAAACAAATCTGGTTTTAACCTTTATGTCCCCAAAAATTGAGAGCTTGGGAGGACTTTTCCAGCTACTCATTTAATATATTTAATTAAAACAAGAATGAAACTGGGTGATTTGAAAATATGGTACTGTGGTGACAGCTATTACTGACCTAACCTTGACCTTTGTAGCTGAAACTCAGCAGAACTCTTTCCCTAGGCCATTTGTTGCAATGATTGATAAAATGTTGTGCTTATACGTACCACAATTCGCCAGATTTGGAGACCAGGTTCAGTTCCGGCTCCCTGCCAAGCTGGTTCTGTCATGGCAGATTCCTCTAAAGAATGGAAAGAAAAACTGTACCAGCAAATCATATCGCAATCCAGTGCCATATACATTTCTACATCAAATATTGGAATGATTTATTCATTAATTTTCATTTCACTGAAACATCACTTTGGGTATATGTATACATGTATGACACTGTTGTTTTGCATTTTTAAATAAGGCCACAGTAATTATTACTTCTTTGTTTTACATTCCTGGGAAGGTAACTTTTTCATAAATATTCAAGAACAACAAACACAAATTTGTCAATCTTTCAACTGTTTTCCTTAATATTTTCTGAAAATTTTAGACAATCATATCTATTTGTCATATTTAAAGTGATTGACCTTCATTATTATTGTGGACCCAGTAAAGAGCAAGAGCCACGAACCATCAAAAATGGCCCTGTGTCAAAAATTAACGGGTTTTTGTCAATTGATAGTGAAGACCTTTACCTTTGCTTTGCCGTTTTTCTTTTTTCGATATCGATTATAGTTTTTGAAAAAGAGAGTTTGAAGTATGGTGGTGTTTTAAAAGAAAAATGTTAGTAGAACGTCATTTTCTGTAACGTAACGTCGTAGGGTGGAAAAATTTCCTTGATCGATTTTGCATGTATGAATATGTGACTTTGAATTAAAACTAGTATTAATAATATAATAAACATCATAATTAATTTAAGACGATTAAAAGCATTTGGAACTTGATTTAACTTGCCGTCTTTATGGTAACCTCGTGTTTAACTGATTGAATTATATAGATACATGAAGTAAAAACTAGAGGTACTGTGAGCACTGAGCTCACAAAATGATACCCCGCCTATCATATATTTATAATGGCAAAGTCCATGTTTTGCTATGGGAAACCCGAAATATGTGTCTGATCAAAAGTGAAATAGGAGGTGCACAATGTAAAAAGATTCTGTGAAAGTATCATTAAATCTTTAATTTATTCAGGCGTATAAGAGGAGTTGCGGATAAGAGATGGGTACCCTAAATATTATTTAAAGAATGGCAGTGTCTATGTTTTGCTATTGGAAACCTGAAATATGTGTCCGATCAAAAAGTGAAATAGGAGGTGCACAATGGCACTATCTACAAAGATTCTGCGAAAGTATCATTAAATTTTATTGAGTGGTATAGGAGGAGTTGCGGATAAGAGATGTGTACCCCAAAGCGTAATGGACGGACGCACAAACGGACGGAAAGGACACCCCCATCACTATATACCCCAACTTTTTAAGCGGGAGTATAATAATCTGTGTGACTGTCTTGGAATATTTTCATTCTACCTGGTCCCTATGATAATATTAAAAAAAGGAACATTCTATTTATATCCATTCAACACATTTTTGAGCGATGCTTCGCTCCTAGTGAAGTATTGTTTATAGATCATCATAAACAAGTATTGTGTATAGATCATCATAAACAATATACGACATGCTTCAAATGCCGATAGTCTGACCAACTAAGTTTTCCGGATTTTTCCCTACAGGCCAGCAGATATTAAGCTGATCTTTGGCATGTGCGTCCAGGCACGTAGTATCGTTTTTCAAAGTTGGGAAGTGGGCAGTCGGGAAAAAAAATAATTGACAACATACCTGAAATGATCTTGAAACGAATGTTTCTGAACTGAAGAGCTAATTCTATAACTACAGTGTAGGTAAAAGTTTAATTGCAAAAAGTTTTGTTTAAATTGAAAGAGACTTTCAATGCAAAATTCTTAGATGCTGATATTGCGAGTATTTTAACGTATAAAAGATCGAAATTATTTGGCCAAGAGGAAGAAGGAAAAAGTTGGAAGGACTTGTTTCTAATCCATTTATTCATTTGTAACAATAATTTGAACGTTGTTTTCGATACAGAAACAGGGAAAATTTTAGATTAATTGGAAAGGGATTTCGCAATTTATCGGAATGGTTTAATTAGTAAACAGAACTCATCAAAACATTCTAGCCCTAAATGTAAGTTTCTTTGGAGTAATATGGAAAACAGTAGAGTACACTTCAAAAAATATTCTTTAGAAAAATAAATTTGTTAAAAAATCACTCGTCACTGTCCAATATTATATATTTAACAGTATTTGCTGGAACCCCCCACTCCCCATTTTTTTGCAAAATGTTCGAATTTTTTTCTCCAAATACCTTGATATCTGCAGGGATTTTGTAAAGGTAGAGTCTGCGAAAATTCTATGATTATTTTCCATGTAAATGTATCAAAAGATTAAGCATGAGGAATTTTTCGTTATTATCACACGTAACCATTGTGTAAAATCCACGCTTTCGATTTCATTTGCACATTATGGTTTTTATGGTTTATAAAAAGAGTAGAGCTACACTGATATTGCTGATATGTGGGTCACTATCATAATTGAAATACATGTACAGGTGTTCATTTATCCTTGTTTTATTGTCTCACAATCAGCACAAGATTGATTTTAATCAACAAAAGCTTGCTTAAAATATTTTACTCGGAGAAGCAATAAGAGTTGTCCGTACATATTTTTTTCAATTTTCTTTATGATTTTTTTTTCGTGAAAAGAGGCGCTGCCAAACCAGTCCCCACCCCCCTTCTCACTGAGGAAAAAATAAGAGGAGTAGGAAAGTCTTTAACAATTTTCAATTTCTAGATTGATTTCTATTCATTAACAATAAAGAAAGTTAAATTCAAGACAACCTAAGAGAATAAAATAAAAATAACTACATTAGATGAAAATTTTGTTGCCATTAGTTTGTAACACCCCCCCCCCCCCTCTTTTTTTCAATCTCAACTGGAAGTCTTGGATCTACCATTCTACATATCATGATACTAATAGTTTATACTGAGGGAGGAGGTACATGTACAAGTGTACTAACCAGAATAAGCTGACAATAGATTTAAAAAAAAAAGAGTAAAAATTATTATCCAAAAAATAAAATCTACTTCGTTGGGTTTAAAAAAATCTAGCTATAAACAACTTACGGCCATACGCTTTAAAGAACATATTCCCGTTTTATTGATTTGTTTTTTAAAACACATTTTAAGATCTCTCTCTCTCTCCATGTGTTTTCACATCGCTGAATTTTTAGATAAAACCGTATACTAATAAAGTTGCAATGAAGAGATGATGACGGATAAAAACTTTGGGTAAATTATATGTATTGTACTTATTTATTTAATTTATGTTTTGTCTAAATAGATCTATAATCACTACCCTTTCACTGACCGACGATCTGAAGCATAACTATACTAATAATTAAATTGTGTTAGTTACAATGAAATATTTGGAGCACAGTACAAAAAATGCATAAACATTTTATAGTGATGTCTAAGATATACGACATGCATTTAATGCAATTTTACTCACTGGGGGTATATTTGAATTATGTTTCACAAAGGATGACAAGATCGGGTATATGTTTTATGTACATATGCATCAATAGCCTCACTTCGATTTTAATAAATACAGACATATTAAAAATATACCGATATATTCTTTTGTTTTTGATCACGGGCGCGGGATCGTCATGTGCAAGTGTTTTAACGAAACCCGATATCGGTGCTCACATAACTGTATACTATAACTATACATTATTTTGTATCAGCATGTATAAGCCATCGATATAACTGAATTTTGTAAATTCGTTGAGATGATTCTTCTGCATGTACATAAAAAAGGTGCGGAAATTAGATGATTATCTTAATGCGTATTTTTTTCATTCCTTTTTTTCATTTTTTTTTTTTTTTAATTTTCACTTTGGACAGCAACCCAGATCATTTTTATTTCACTTGTTTTAAAAGGTATAGCGTGATATCTTTGCTACACTCTCTATTAATTTGTTTACAATTTAAGTCATGCCTGATAACACTATTAACAACAGTATTTTGAATTATTTCAGGAGGGGAGGGGGAGGGGTAGTAGAGAAAGACACCGTGGCGGGAATTTCTGATAACTTATAATTTGATGGTATCATCCAGTTGGGTTTACATGTAATTAAATCATATACATGTAAATACATGTAGGGGCACTATCTAGAGCGTTAAAAGCTTTTCAGCAACATCCCAAATAATTTACAGCCTTTATGACGTCACAACTGACGTATTACTAGTAACGTCATACATAATGACCTAGTCATAGTAAAAACCACAAAGTTTTTCCAATCTTTTATTTCAGAAAATGTATGTAGTTGACTATTTTTCACATTTAGCGTTTTAAATGAACAATTTACTGATTTTCTAGCATATTTTGTGAAATTTATATTTTTTTTATTATTACATGAATTGAATGTAAACGATTGATCTACAAATTAAGGATTATTTGATCCATCAAAATTTAAATATAAAATCAAATTTCATATTGGCCACAGCCACGAACAACAACGATATTAAACATAAAGATTTGTATCGGTAATATCTATATCTATGGGAAGTATAAAAGTTGTTCTTGACTGTGGCCACATCTAACTTTGGGCAAATCTGTCGAAAAAACGGCATTTTTAACGTTTTTATGAAACCGTCGCATTTTCCAACCGTCGCACGTGTTTAATGGCGCATTATATAACGATATAAGTTATGTATGGAAAAGAAGAATGTTGTCCTCTAATATTTAACGTATAGTACTCTTCTTGAACCGAAACTTTATTTTTGTGAAAAACACAGGGCCAAATATGATGGTTCGTGGCTTTAGCTCTTTACAGAGTGAATTAAATATGTGTTAAATTTCTGAAATTACAGAGAAACAACATATACACAACTTCCTTTCTCATTCATTAGTCAATATTTTGCTTATTATTGATTGTGCTTTTAAAATAGGTTAATAATGTTTTTAAGTCAGACTGGAGGGTACCTTTTAGAAAATTAAGGGACATAAAACAAGATATTATTTACCAAGGCCCTGGCTTTACAACTGAAAAAGGTACCCTGACAATTAAAGCCTAACTTAGCTTGTTTAAATATTCATTCTACTTCTGTAATAAACTCACCTTTTACAAACAGTTTCATTAATGGCTTTGATTTCACAGAATACTTACTTTTGACCTGTCTCTCAGTGTCTGACCCAAACAGGGCCATGTTGGAATCCTTCCAGTCATATTTCTTTGCTTTTACCAGTCCTAGAGGGCATCAAAACAAATATGTTTTTGGTTGTAGACATTTTCCTTTACTCAGCCAAAAAACCAATAAAACATTGACTTAGAACATGAAAAGGAACAGTTAAAATCCCTTCCTTTTCTCCTAATTTGCTATTTCATGAGTTCAAATTTCCTGGTGACAATTAAAAATTTGACTCTGTTTTAACCTGGTACAGTCAAACTTTGTTATCTAGAACTCGATGAGACCAAGAAAAATATTTTTGAGATATCCAAGGGTTCCAGATTTTGAGGATAAAATACTTAAAAAGCTAGAGCTTAATTGGGACTTCCAAATTGCTCCGACATTTCCATGGTCTTCGAGATATCTGTGTAAATGCAGAAAGAAGTCTGTTTTTCAGATAGTAATATATCCTGGTTAAGATTTTTTTGAGATCCCATTTCAAGCTAGTGCCTGACCCTATACCCTGGATATGCAGTTTTCTAGGAAATACCAATCAATTGTATTCAGAAATGCATCCATTCCTAGGTGAACCAGCTCATTCATGCAGGTGTAACCTGCAGATAATTAATGCTTACAGGTACTTAGGAATGGATCTGCTCTGCACTGTATATATGACCTTGACCTATGATAATAAATGCCATTGCAATGCAGACAGTCTAGCAAGAGCTCTCCCATGGTAAATATACTTATCCATTATTAGATGGACTAGAAATGAATAGCTGAGATTTTAGTGTTTACCATTATAAAGTTTGTTTTACGCATTCAGGATAATCTATTACAATTCTCTGCAGCACTATGAAGTATAATACCTATTACTAAGATTAGATCTTACATATTTATAATAATCATTTATGTAATTGTACATTCTACATATTATAGATATATATATATATATATATATATATATATATATATATATATATATTAATTGTATTAGCAAAGACTTACCTGCCATTTTGCTGGAGATATTTTACTTTGAACAGTGAAGCCCACGTTTACCTAGAAATCCAATAATCTGAAAGAAAAAAACGAATGAAATTTGAAACACTATGAATCACTAACTGACTGTCTACATGTAATATTTCCCTACAGCTGATGCAGAAGAATTAAACACAGGCTTGCATTAGTGGAGAATTTCTAAGAGCTAGGCAGTTATATATTTGTGTTTGAAGCAGTCAGCGTAGTTTAAGGTGGCAATCAGCCCATCATATCACAAGAAAATGCACAAGGTCTGCCATTTCAGCAGTTTTTGGTGACTCAAACACGCATGCACCCTGCAATATCTATTTTAATGTCAATGACCATGATGCAGATCAAGTTCAAATTCTGCCATCACTTAATTTAACCACTGGATATTGATCAGATTTTAATTTCTTAGGTTCAGGATGTTTACCTGATTGAAATTAAATCTGAAAAAGCCTTTTCAAAGACCATATGTAATGTAATATACCTTATTTAATAATAATGAGAACCTACAGATGCTTATTACTGATAAATCTACATAGCCTTCATTACTCAGTGAATTCGATCATTTCATCATGAGCTGCATCAGAACAGCCATAAGAACCTATGATTGATTGAAATCTGACTCCCCTGTCAATGTCACAACAGACTCCTCCCTAATTATGTACAAGGTGACAATGATACATGATGATAAAAGATGCCCCATTCATTCACTTAACATAAAGGCCATTATGATCCTCACTTTTAATATTTATAAATGTGAAGTAAGTTTTTAAAAACTCAAAAAAAAAATTTTATACCAACTTATTGGTCTTCCTTGTTGAGATATTGCATGGTACCAGAACAAATATGTCCTGAATATTTCAATTATAATTCAATATATGCAAGTTTATAGACTCAATGCAATTTTCAAATTTGCATAAAATTTCATAAAAATCAAACAAAGTCAAGCCCTGTTGACCTGGACACTTGTGATCTCATCCAAATTGTCTGGATTAATGAAGTGCCGCACCTTGATTACTGAAATAATTCTTTTATAATTGGAAGATTAATGGGGAGCATATCATCCACCCCCACCCCTTAAAATTGTAAAGCATGTATTAAAGTATAGAGAGGTATATAAAATATAGTGTGTCTGGCCCATTTGCTCTTAAATTTTTCTTGTAAGTGTCCACTCATGCTTTAATAAAAGATATGCTACAAGACATCTTGCTAATTACTTTGCAGGGGGGGGGGGGGGGGGGTTCATGATGCTAAACTCATTGCAGAATATAAAAAGAAACACACACAACAAAACTGAATATATAGATTTGCCAAGCAGACAACAAAGAGATATTCCTCGGCATGGGAAGCAGCTGTGACGATGATTCAGAGATAAACGTGTGCACACTTACTTCAAAGCCTGATAACTAAAATCTTCTATTCTGCACTTTTTACCGAAACATAGCCTTAATTACTACAGCATCCTAATGGCAAGGAAAAATTTTACTGGAGTTTAAACCCTAAGAACATGAAGAATGTTTTATATTTATGTATAGGGTTGTCCCTAAGAATTGATATAAAAGGGGACATATATTTAAAAAAGTAGAAGGGGGTCTGGGGTTCCTCCCCTTACAGGGGGTTGAGATGGAATTAATACCTTATTAACAGGGAGATAACATTATACGCTGGGAAATTCCCCAGCCCTCAGGTATTACAGACAACCCTGTTTCTGTGCCCTAATTTGACCATTACTAGAAATTCTTCACACTGCATCAAAGATAACTAACATTGAATCCTGCATTATTATTGAAACAGCTCAGAACTGTTTATATACTACACACTGAATACCATACAGCAGAAACTGTACTTTATCAGAAAAAGTCAAAATGGCCTTGAGAAATTCTGCCAATCTTGATTGATACGTCCGAGTTAAAATCCTAAGATGTTTGCATACAGAATGCACCATTAGATAGCTAGATCATAATATACAGTGGCGCCCTGTTAATCTGAGTGCCAATATTAACCTCCCAAACAATATTTTTGAAAACTCTAGTATGAACCATTAAGTTTGTACATGCATGTAGTTATTGCTGATCAAACTCGGCAATATACTTTCATTCCTGATGATATTCATAAAAATAAAAATTTCATACTTAAGTTTCATGAGCTAATTAACCAAAGAATTAACTTAAGCATCTAAGAAAAGGCTAAATATTCATGTGACCGGCCCTTAAGCTTTGACATGTCATAGATTTTGAGCAAAAAAATACTCTGCTTATATTCACGTCTTACTGTATGACTTGCCTATCCTTGATTAGAATTTAATAATTCATTTGAACTGGTTCTGGAAAACATTGCTTATACATAGAAATGATTCAGATATACACCAAGATAATTCATTTAATTTGATTAGTTTCCACTGGACAACCAATTAATGACTGGACCCATATGCTGGTACAGGGTGAACTAAGCCCTGGTGTGAGTCAAGGGTGAATTAAGTCCTGGTGTGGGTCATGGGTGAATTAAGCCCTGGTGACTGGGTCCAGGGTGAATTAAGCTCTGGCATGGATCCAGGGTGAATTAAGCCCTGGTGCAGGTCTAGGGTGATTTAAGCCCGGGTATGGGTCCAGGGTGAATTAAACCCTGGCCCCTGGTGTGGGTCCAGGGTGAATTAAACCCTGGCCTCTGGTGTGGGTCCAGGATGAATTAAACCTTGGCCCCTGGTGTGGGTTCAGGGTGAATTAAGCCCTGGCCCCTGGTGTGGGTCCAGGGTGAATTAAACCCTGGTCCCTGGTGTGGGTCCAGGGTAAATTAAGCCCCAGTGTGGGTACAGGATGAATTAAGCTCTGGCCCCTGGTATGGGTCCATGGTGAATTAGCCCTGGTGGGGGTCAAGAGTGATTTAAGCCCAAGTGGAGGTTCAGGGTGAATCAAGCCCTGGTGGGCATCCAGGGGGCTAAGCCCTTGTATTAGTTTCTGAATTCTGGAGAAAATAAAGCCCTCTGAGAAAACACTTTTATTTTTTCCCATCATCATAATTAATAATAAGAATCAATAAAACTAATATTTTAAGGTCTATGGATTCAAAGCCTTGGAATCGAGCCTCGATCTAGAAGCTCAGTCTGCCTTGGCAGAATACAGATTTCTACACCTTTATCCAAAATGCATTTTTTTTCTTAGATGAAACAATGACTAATCTAAAATTTGAAGGGGGGGGGATCTGATGGATGCCCCCTTCCTCTTAAATCTACCAATTGTCATCCTAGTGAATTGATTATAGTTTACAATATTAAATCATAATTGTCTAAGGGACTTATAATTGTAAGAAAGGAGAAAATATATAGCTGGACTGGGAATCGAACCCAGGACCCCTGCAGGTGCTCTACCAACTGAGCTACCCAGGCCGATATATTACATTCCTCCCTTCTTAAATTGTCTTCACCCTCGAAGACACGACCCAAGTTCTTATTAGCCCCTCGCAGGACTTTCACCTGCAAGTCCAGGGGTGGTCAACAGCACCAATTCTGTAACAGGAAAGGAGAAAATGTATGGCTGGACTGGGAATCGAATCCGGTACCCCTGCATCACTAGTCAGGTGCTCTACCAACTGAGCTTCCCAGGCTGATATCCACGGTCCAAACAATTACATTAAATAATACAGATGTTTTCAACAAAATCCAATCATTTGAAAAACTTTAAAATCAAAATTTCTATTGACTCATGAATTAGTTCTCTGCAAATGTTGAGTCATATGACTGGTTTTAACTTCAACTTATAAAATTAACACACAAAAACTACTGCAGCTATGAGAATTTTATCGATGCTATTGATACCACATAAATGGTGTTTGATGCATTGTTTTAAAGTCCTGCATATATTAATATTACTTTAGACTTTGTAAATAAAGTGAACAAGACTAATTACCCCTCAGAACTTCTCATAAAACATTCCACACATTCTTTCTACTTAAAGATAATAAAATTTAACATGTGGAAAATTTTCTTAAGCCAAAAAAAGGAGAAAAGAAAACATGCTCACATGAAAGAAACAAGATGTCAGATGTTCCTAACATTGACTCACTATCTGTTTTAATCTTACTCGTTATTTTTATTTAGCACAGAAAACTTAGATGAACACTGAAGATTTACTGGAGTATTATATCCTCACAAAAACTCTCCACACACATAAGGAAGGCTGCCCTGCATTCCACACATTCTTTCAGCTGTCTACATGTTTAATATCAAATATTTAATACCGTTAGGAAGAAAAACAATGTTAGTTTGGGGGAAAAAACTATAAGGTTAAAGGTAAATTAATCTTTAATTGGAATCCATGTACAGAAACAGTAATTATCTTCAGAAAAAATCTGCATGATTATCAAGTATAATTAGTTAACAGCACACATCAATGATAGATTTAATCTACCTTTAATTAGCAATATAGATGTGAAAGAGCTACTACAGACAAACGCTGACTGACAATAATAGCAGTGTAATCGTCTGTTTGTCTGTAGCACTCAGAACCAACAGACACATCTGGCACTAGACCCCCAAATCTCCTACAATCCAAAAATCTAGCTGGCCACAGACAGTGAATTAATCATGGAGCATGAATTACTTATAACTCTATAAACAAATTACTGCATCCATAATTCACTGACATTCCAGTTTGACACAGCCTGAATTCTACTACACATCTACACACACATAGAAATATTTACAGATGAATGGTGTGTCTTCAGAATATTATATGGCATACAAGAATCATTTCCAACTCCAGGCAACTCTAGAGATCCCGGCAATGTTTAATATTCAGAGAGGTTAAAATTAAAAGTTTTTATGAATGGTATTAAATTTATCAATGAAGGTAGACTTTAGGTAATCTTACCTGACTGAACGTTAGCTAAAAAGGAAATTGTGTAGGAGTTGTAAATTTTGACAAGGGTTTATACTTCATGTGAGTCACAAACTCTTTATGAGCAATGTGGAGGAATGTATACACTGGGGATGTGTTTACTCAGGGAGAGGAAACATGTTTTGATTTCACTGAAAATGTGGATCCAATTACTTCAGGGGTGTTAATAGCTAGAATATTTGTAATTTTGTACTGCTGTAAAGATTATCTGACCTAGCAAGCTTC